CATGCATGGACACTGTTCACGTAGCGTCCGGAGATTCCGCTGCGTGCGTGGGCGCGTCCCAACAGGAAACGGAGGGCATGACAGCACAGGAAGTGGTGGCTTATGGCAAGCTTAAGAGTTTCTGCACGAACATTATCAAGAAATTGGCACCACCGCTGCTCCGTGAAGTCCAAGAATCGCACCTACGACCGGAGGCGGAGCCGTTCACGCCAAAACGCACGACGCGCGCATCCAAGAAGATGGCAACTGCGAGCCGGTCCAAGGATAGTCCAGTTGAGAATGTGCTGCTGCATGCTCTGGGTCTAGTTCCAGATGACCTTGTGGTGGATGATGGGGTGGTAAAGGAGCTGAAGGCACTGTTCGATTCCCCCCTTCGTGAGCAGCATGTCAGGGTCATCGCGGCTCTCTTCGGAAGACGGTGCCCAGTGAACAGGAGATGAACGTGGAGAACGCGGTGGTGGTGTGTACGCGCTAAGCGGCCCGTGGTGGTGTTGGTGGTCGATCCTTCATGGATTCACACCCACATGTGTTGTGCTAGAATGTACGTGGCCTCAACAATCCAGCCAAGAGGAAGGCCGTTAGGGAGTTCATTAGCTCAGTTAAGGTGAACTTGGTGTGTCTCCAAGAGACTAAAATGGATGTAATGGATCAGTTTACTGTGATGCAATGCTTGGGGCCATCTTTTGATGGTTTCTCCTACCTGCCGGCTGAGGAGACTAGAGGGGGATCCTTATCGCGTGGAACACCTCGGCTCTGTGGGTGGATAACTTAGTCCCCAATGCCAATTTTATTTCGGGGTTGGTGCATACCAGGGAGGGACAACCTTGGTGGATCTCGGTGGTGTATGGACCGCAGAGTGATGAGCTGAAGACGCAATTCTTGGAGGATTTGAGGGCTAGGAGGCTGTTGTGCCAAGGACCATGGATGATTTTGGGGGACTTTAACATGATCCTTCGCGCCTCTGAGAAAAACAACTCTAACGTCAACCGGACCATGATGGGGAAGTTCAGGGATTTTGTTGACGACCACGAGCTCAAGGAGATGTACATGCACGGCAGGAGGTTCACGTGGTCGAATGAGCGAGACACGCCCACGTTTACTAAGATTGACAGGATCCTTATATCCGTTGATTGGGAGTTGGAAAATGCAGAATACCTCCTCCAGGCGCTCTCCACGGGAGTCTCTGATCACGCGCTGCTGTTGCTTACTACGAGTGTGGGATTCTGCCCCAAACGCAGGTTCCGGTTTGAGCTTTTTTGGACTAGGTTGGATGGGTTTGAGGAGGCGGTGCAGGAGGCTTGGGTGTGCGACCCCGCGATCATGGATCCGTACGCCAGACTGGATGCACTGATGAGGAATGCGGCTGCATCGCTTCAGGCTTGGGGTCAGCGCAAGATTGGTAACGTCAAACTCCTAATGCGGGTGGCCACTTGGGTGATTCATAAGCTGGATGTTGCACAAGAATGAAGAAGGCTGGAGCTGAGAGAGATTTGGTTGCGCCGCACGCTGAAACAAGCTCTGCTTGGCATGGCAGCCCTGGAACGCACTATTGACAGGCAGCGCTCGAGAATGAGATGGCTCAAGGAGGGTGACGCAAACTCCAAATTGTTCCAGGCGGTGGCCAATGGAGGCAGGTCAAAGAACTATATTTTGCGTATCAGAGTTGGAGAGCAGATCATTGTGGAGCAAGAGAACATGGAGGATGCCTTCTTCCATGCGTATAAGCAGTTGCTTGGTACGGCCCAAGCTAGGGAGCACACCCTGGATCTCCAATTCATGGGGATCGCCCCTCACGATCTTCAGGAGCTGGAAGCCATGATTACGGAGCAGGAGGTTTGCGAGACTGTAAAGGAGATGCCACCTGACCGTGCGCCGGGGCCGGATGGGTTCATTGCCGCTTTCTATCAGCGGGCCTGGCCTATCATCAAGCATGATGTTATGGCGGTTATGATGAAGCTTTATGTTGCGGATGGTAGGGGCTTTGCTAAGCTGAACAAGGCGCATATCGTTCTCATTCCTAAGAAGCCAGAGGCAGAGGAGATTGGAGATTTTCGGCCTATTAGTCTTACACACAGCGCCCCCAAGCTATTTGCAAAGGTTCTCGCTAACAGGCTTCGAAAATGCATGCCGGAGATCGTGGGCATGAACCAGTCGGCATTCATTAAAGGACGGCACCTGCACGATAACTTCCTCCTTGTGAGGCAAGTGGCCAGGAAAATTCACGATCGCAGGGCGCCAGGGGTGCTCCTCAAGCTGGATATCTCGAGGGCCTTTGATTCCTTATCGTGGTCCTTCCTCTTTGAGGTCCTGGAAGCTAAAGGGTTTGGGAGAAGATGGTTGCAATGGTTGGCGATTCTGCTGCACTCGGCGAGCACCAAAGTTATTGTCAATGGCGTGCTAGGTCGGAGGTTCTACCACGCTAAGGGTTTGCGCCAGGGCGACTCGATCTCCCCGCTTTTGTTCGTCATCGCCATGGACGTGCTGACATCGTTGGTTCATAAGGCAATGGAGCTTGGAGTGGTGAGCTCATATCGTGGGATCTCGGCAATGCAACGGATCTCTATTTACGCGGACGATGTGGCCATCTTCATTAAGCCCACCACCACAGATCTGGTGTTCATCACCGCGGGGTTGGAGATATTCGGTCAGGCCTCAGGATTGCGTGTTAACTATCGTAAGTCGTCGGCTATTTTGATCTGTGGTGATGCTGTGGACAGTGCCAGAGTGGCCAGAGTTCTACAATGTGGCATTACGGAGTTCCCCTGCAGGTACCTGGGGCTGCAGCTCACCATCAGATGCCTCACCAGAAGCGACTGGCAACCCATGCTTGACAAAGTTAAACTTTTCGTGCCGGGCTGGCAGAGAGGGCTTATTCAGCGCCCAGGACGGCTTATTCTTGTGCAATCGGTGATCTCCGCCAAGCCAATTCATCACCTTATGATTATGGATGCTCCTGACTGGGTGTTTGAGGAGATGGACAAGTGGATGCGCTCCTTCTTCTGGGCCGGGAAGGACAAGGTGAATGGAGGCCAATGCCTCATTGCTTGGAGTAATGTATGTCGACCCAAATGCTATGGTGGCCTTGGTGTGAAGAACCTCAAGCTACAAGGGCTAGCTATGAGGGTTAGATGGGAATGGTTAAGACGGACAGAGCCCAACAGGCCTTGGCAGGGGCTGTCCATGACCACAGATCTGGAGGCTCGTGAGGTCTTTGATAGTCTGGTGGGCATCGAAGTGGGGAGAGGCGATCGGGTGCTTTTTTGGAGGGATCGTTGGATCCACGGTTTTGCAGTTAAGCACATTGCCCCGCTTGTGTTCGCCATGGTGCCGACTCGAGTAATCAACAAACACACGATTGAGCAGGCTCTCACCGACAGCAGCTGGTTGGAGGACTGCCAGATGGGATTTTCTTTCATGGCCCAGCTTCAGCTGATGCATCATCCAGGCCATTGGCACGGTACCTAGGGATGCGGAGAGCTTGGATGTGTTCACCTGGCCTTGTTCCAGCTCGGGCTCATACTCTGCCAGATCGACTTATGCCAGACTTTGCGTGGGTCACACCAGGTCGCCCTTCGCGACATGCGTTTGGAGGAGCTGTGCACCTCTGAAGTGCAAAATTTTTGCCTGGCTTGCTCTGCAGCACCGCATCTGGACCTCTGATCGGAGGGCACGTCACGGCTTACAGGACGAAACATCTGCTTGCTACACCTGCTTACAAGATGAAGACAATACCGACCATATCCTAGGCGCTTGCACCTATGCACGGGAGGTTTGGCACAGGCTCTGGGACCTTCTCGGGATTAACGTACCAGGACACGTGGCTGGTGAAACGATTCTAGACTGGTGGCTTAGGGCAAGGAAGGTCTTTCACTCTGCAGATCGGAGGGGGTTTGACTCCACTTTCATCGCGATGATCTGGGCGCTATGGAAACAACGGAATGCACGGGTCTTCAATAGGTTAGAGCAACAACGTACCCCAACAGAGCTTGTGTTGATGTTGCTAGATGAGGTTGCCGAGTGGAAGGCAGCCGGGTTGGGTGTAGGAGGACTCCAACGATTTGTGAGGAGTTAGTATAGGGTCCTAGGCTGGTGTGGGTGTTGGTTTGTATCTGTGCTACACGTTTGTTCACATTCGTGGCGCACGTCATGTAATAATTTCTCTCCTTCTATAAAAATATGGTACGTCTTTGGCGTACTCTCAAAAAAAAATCTCCCCGTGAAGAGATAAGATAAGGTCCAGGCAAAGCGGTGGGCAGTTATCGGAGCAATAAGGACGGTTGATTTGCATCTGATCTAACGACGAGCGCTCGGCCGGCCGAACTTTCGGCCGGCGTGCCGGTTTCAAACGTTTCCCTTTTGTCGGGGAAAAAGAGTGATCGGACAGTCAAACACGGCAGATTGTGTGGTGTGGGAGGCGACGGATCGGTCGACCGACGCCTAGTACCTGCCTTCGCCGAATAGGGCGCGCAGGCGGAGGGTGTAGGGGTACAAGGCGCCGCCGGCCGAGGGCATGCTTTGGCCCAGACCGGCGTCAGCACGGGCTCGGCCGAAGCATCACGGGCAGCCGTCCTGCCGGCCCGCCTCCAGCCCCCGACTGAAAGACAAAGGAGTGTCCTGCTCTTCCAAGGTTCAAATGGCATGGTGTCACTGTCCGACTCCCGAGCCGAGACGAAGCTGCCAAGCGCCAGTTAAGGCGGAAGAAAAAGAGGCATCCCCCGATGCGAATGTGCCGGCACAGGGGGAGGTCCTGCCTGCCCAGGATACTTCGCCCCAGGTTCCACCAATCCTCACTGTTCGCCTCCCCTTGACTCTTGATTGATTTTTCTCAGCTCACGATTCGGTTCCAAGATAGCAATATAGTCCAGTTGCACATGGTGGCTTTTGTATGATTAGCACTGCCGCGCTGATGCATATGTATAGTTGGGGAATTTAGTTGAATTTCGAGATCTTTAGCTGTTTCGTGCCTAGAACAGAACAGGGGGAGGGGGGTTTGGGGGAGAATGTCTGGTGGGCTCAAGAACAAGAAGAAGAAGGGCCACGAGTGGGATTTGAACGACTGGAGATGGGACGGCAACCTCTTCCTGGCCACGCCGTCGCCAAACGCGGACGCTCCGTCAGGGTGCGGCAGCAGGGAGCTTGGGCTAGCAGAGGAGGGGGGCAGTTTTGGTGCTGCTGCTGCTGACAAGAGGAGGAGGAGGAAGAGAGTCACCACAGTGGATAACCCCGAGGAGTGCAGCAACACTGCGATTCTTCATCATGAAAGGATTGCTGTTCGGAGAGGACAGATGGGCGAAGAAGAGGGACCTGCCAGTGCAACAGCAGGTGCATCTTCCAGCTCTGCTCCATCTTGCCAAGTCGACGGCTGCCACGCGGACCTCGGCGACGATAGGGACTACCACAGGAGGCACAAGGTGTGCGAACCGCATACCAAGTCGACTCTTGTTCGTATCAAAAACATCGAGCATCGGTTTTGCCAGCAGTGCAGCAGGTTAGTCAGCAATTAATTTCTTCATGCCTAAACTTTTAATGGTGTAAAGGGGAAGAATCATTTGACATTTGTCTCTAGGTTTCACCTTGTTCAAGAATTTGATGAAGGGAAGAAGAGCTGCCGCTCACGTCTGGCAACACATAATAGAAGGAGGAGGAAAGCCCCAGCTGAGGCTGTTAATTCCTTGGGTGAAAATCAGTCCTTAACCAACACCTTACTCCTCTTGTTGAGACAACTCGCTGGACAAGATTGTAAGTTTCTCGGATCGTATGTACGGCGCAGTGCTATACATTGATTTTTACTGGTTCATATGCGATCGATCGATCCATGCTCATATAACCTCAGTGTTATGTCTTCGCAGCTGCTGCTAGCTCATCTGAGCAAATCAATGGTCCCAATCTTTTGGTTAGTCTTTTGAAGAACCTTGCTGCTGTTGCTGGCACACAGGCATGTCAAGATATGCTAAAGGATGCAACCTCATCAAATGCTGGTAACTATGTTGGGAATCAAAGTGGACCACCAGTTCATGCAGGTAAATAGCCCTTTGATTAACTGCTGCTGCTGCTGTTGCACAAGGCAAATAAGTACACATTCTGAAATTAAATGATGTGTGGACCACTTGACATGTGTCCTCAGAAGAGCCTCCTGTGAAAAGACGTGCGCAAAATTTTGATCTAAATGATGCTTATGTCGAGGAAGATGAGGTACATTATTTAGGTTGATTCTCTTGGGTTTTCCTGCTGACTAATTGCGTCTCAGCTGCAGCACCCCTGATGCCCCAAAACATTTGCAGAGCCGAACAGATAAAATTGTCTTCAAGCTTTTTGGTAAACAGCCAAATGATTTTCCTGCGGATCTACGTGCACAGGTCATTTACCATATGCAAATTGGGAATAGTGCCTCTCTTTGACAACTTTATCTCTTCATTTTTTTTGACTATTTATTTCTTCAAGTTTTTGGTTCAAATTGTTTTTTATTTGCAGATCCTAAACTGGCTGTCACATTATCCTAGTGACATGGAGAGCTATATCAGGCCTGGTTGTGTAATTCTAACTATTTACCTTCGTCTTCCTAACTGGATGTGGGATAAGGTAGCGCTGCTAATACTAGCGTTCTAAACATGCTTATCTGTTACCAAGTGAATAAACTGCTTACGAATTCAAATAGCAAAACCTAAATTATGAACCTTGGATAGATAAGCATAATCCTCACTTACTGTTATTTTTCTTTTGTCTGAATTCCTCTAAAGCTTAATGTCGATCCAGCTCCTTGGATAGAAAATCTCATTAGCATATCCACAAATGGTTTCTGGGAGACAGGATGGCTGTATGCTAGGGTGCAGGACCGCCTCACATTAAGCTGCAATGGTTTGTTCGCCTTATTTCTCTCTTTATATTACACCCTTGTTCTTTTTCTATTTTTATATGTGGTTTCCCTTTCTTTGCAGGCAGGCTTATGTTAGTGTCTCCCTGGCAACCTGTAATAGGTGACAAGCATCAGATACTGTGTGTAACTCCTATTGCGGCTGCCTATAATTCGACGGCAAAGTTCTCAGTGAGAGGCTTCAACATAGTTCAACCAACCACAAAGTAGGTACCACGCATTAGTCTGCACTCTGCACTGACCTGACCTGGATTTTATCTGACTGACAATAATGATGATATTCGTTACAGATTACTCTGTATATTTGATGGGAAATATTTAGTCCAAGAAGCAACACAAAAACTACATGATGATACTAGGATTCAGCAAGGCCCTAAATGTCTGACCTTTTCTTGCTCCTTCCCTAGTACAAGTGGAAGGGGGTTCATAGAGGTGAATTATCCCTTTGGTGTTCTTTCAGTTGTTTCTCTTTATGCATGCTCATTTCCCTTTTTAAATTACGTAATTTCTTGATTCCTTTTCCAGGTTGAAGATTATGATCAGAGCAGCATTTGCTTCCCCTTTGTTGTCGGCAAAGAATCTATATGTTGTGAGATTAGAATGTTGGAGGAAAAACTGAATATAATTGCATTTGGTGATGCCTTGGAAGGAAGAGAAGATCTGATGGCTTCTCGCAGCCAAGCCTTAAAGTTTCTACATGAAATAGGGTGGCTTCTCCAAAGGAGCGACACACGAGCTACATCATCCAAGGCTCCGCAACAACATCATGCGGTGGGCTTTTCTGCTGCAAGATTTAGGTGGCTCCTGTCCTTTGCGGTTGATCAGGAATGGTGCGGCGTGGTAAAGATGCTGCTGGACACCTTGTTCCAGGGCAATATCGATGTCGCCTCACCAGTTGAGTTTGTCCTGGGAGAGAGCTTAGTATTCGCAGCTGTCAACAAGCGGTCGAAGCCTTTGGTTGCCTGCCTATTGAGATACACAACGAAATCTGCACCGGTGGGCGGTGGAGCCGTGGCCACACCAGCCCAGTTCTTGTTCACGCCTGACATGATTGGTCCATCGGATATTACACCTCTCCATGTTGCAGCTACCATCACTAATGCTGCTGCCGTTTTGGATGCTCTGACTGATGATCCCCAACAGGTACTTGCACTGAACTCTCATGCTAATTTTTTTTCCTGAATTGATAAATTTTCCACAGCTACAACAACAACAAAAAAAAACTAGTGTGTGTGCAAATCAGAACCTTGTTGAGTAGTAACAGCAGAGTTCTACATCGGTGTTGGATCAAAGACATTGAAACTATGGTTAATGAGTCGCTTCTGCTTGCAACATTTTCTCCCTGTCTTTTATTTTCTTTCCTGAACTCATGCGGCGTAAATGTGGCAGCTGGGGATCAAAACGTGGAAGAATGCCCGCGATGCTACTGGGTACACTCCAGAGGATTGCGCCCGGCGGAGAGGACAAACCTCCTACATCCAGATGGTCCAGAACAAAATCAACAGCAGGTTACCTGCAGCCCATGTGTCTGTTCCCATGACCACCACTGGTACCGCCGCAGAAGCAGGTCGGCCGAGATCAACTGATCAGACCGTATTTGAATTCGAGAAAAGCCCACCGGGATGCAGACAGTGTGTCCAGCTCCAGCACATTGCCTACCAGCCCTGCCCAAACAGGTTCTTGTCGAACAGGCCTGTGGTGCTATCCCTGGTCGCCATTGCCGCTGTCTGTGTCTGCGTAGGGTTGATAATGCAGAGCCCGCCGGTCGTCCGCGGTGTGCCAGGCCCTTTTCTCTGGAATCACATCCGTTGGGGACCCACTTGAAACGGCCAGTCGGCTGCAGGTTCTGCTATAGTCTGTGTACTCGAGAGTGAGGATGCTTGTGATGGACCAAAGTGCAAATTATGTACATTATATGAGTTGTGGAGTGCCTAACTCTGCTTCAGTGCTTAGGTAGAGTACAGTTCTATTGCATATTCAACCTTTTCATGGCTGTGCTGCGATTGAGAGAAACGGTCACAAGAGCCCGGTATACCTTCCTACTGAGGTGGCCGGCAAGCATCACCTCGCAATTCTCTGCGTGCAGGAGACCAAGATCGATATTTGGGCAGCGGGTAATTGGCCCGCGTGGCGGGGCAGCCATTTTATGAGACAAGGAGATCCCGACCATGACATCGCACACAATTGGGGGCGCTTCTCCATCACTGCCAACGTTTCCATAATCGTCGGCCTCCTTTGGTGAACCTTGGCTGATCAATGATGACTTCAATTTGATCTATGAGGCTAGAGAAAAAATAACCACAAACTTAACAAACGTATTATGGGTATATTTAGAGCTGCCATCGATGCTGCGGGGCTGCGTGAAATCAAATGCAAGAATAGAAGATTCACGTGGAATAACGAGAGGGGGGGTCCTACGCTTGTTAGCATTGATAAGTTCTTTTGCAACATTTGTTGGGAGGCGTTGTTTCCATCTTTCCTCCTGATGGCGGCATGGACATCATGCTCTGACCACTCCCCCCTCCTCCTAGCTAGTGCTACCGCCCCCACCGGCTTACGCGGTTCCGTTTCGAGTCCTTTTGGCCGTGCTTCCCCCACTTCAACAAGACGGTCACCAAGGCATGGCAACGCCTGAGCAGCACAGTTGCGCCTTCGCGTCGGAAGATTAAGATGCAGCGGACAACAAGGGTGCAATTCCAGATTACAAATGAGGTCTTCTTGCGTCTCCATGTCATGCCGGAAAGTAGGCAGCTCACAACCGCGGAGTTCAACCTAACAAGGCTTCTTAAGAAGCTCATAATCAGGCTCGCTGCCATTGAGCGGACGAGGAAGAGGCGGATCACCGGGCTTCAGGGGAGGAAGCGAACACGTCCTTCATCCACGCGAAAGTGTCTCCGCGACGATGCAAGAACTTCATCCCTCCATCCAGGCGGCGAACCAAACGGCGATGGCCCATGCTGACAAAGAGACGATCGTTCATGAACAATTCAATCAGATTCTCGGAACTAGATGCCCCCCTCAGTGCACTATCGTCTCCAACAATACCTCCATCATCATTATGGCCACCAACAGCCCCTTCATCATCACCATCATGCTCCTCTCCTCTATGTGTGAGTAATTTCTTGTAGGCACATGGGGTGGATCTGATCCAGGTGATGGAAAATCATGTAATAGTGTTAAGATTGATGTAGTATTGACCTCTGGTGTTTGAGAATTATTGTTGATATGACTTTGTTGTGCCCAATGTTTATTATTAGGGCTTGGGTAATATGATTACAGATCTGAACCATATTTATCTTTTGTGTTTTTTTGTTTCTGATTGTGCCTCGAGGATGACAGACCGTGGTATCAATGGGGTCGGCTAAGGATTACATGTATTCATGAAGTGTTAATGCATTATTCTGGTTGACCCGCAAGGTCATCTTAGTAACCCTTAGTTTCGTTATGGACCTCAAAGCAAACAGGGGTTAGACTGTAGATGAGAGACAAGTGTTCTTAAGCATGTTTCTCAATTTAAGGAATACATACCTACATTGTTCAGGGTAATCCAGAAATAATGCACTATGTAATGATTTATTCTGTCTGGGCAATATCCACCCATGTGACCATGTTTTCCATCACTAATTGCTCTCTTTCAAATGCTTGATACTTGGCAATTGTTGGGTATTTGTTGCTTGTTACCGTGTTCTGTGTTACTCTGCTGCAATCTACACCAATCGATCCAGTTGATACTTAGTAAGGTAAACACTGAAAGTGCAAAGATAGCTTTGTGAGTGACACATATAACTTGAAAGAAATAGGAAACCTACCTTTAGCTCCCATGGGCTTCAACATGTTGGAAATATGCCATAGAGGCAATAATATTGTATTATTTATTTCCATGTTTATAATTAAGAGTTTTTATTCTATGCTATAACTATCCTGGAATATGTGATTCAGTGGAAAACGCATATGCACATGTGGAATGATAAACGGTAAAACCTGATTCGTAGTATTGCCTCTGGGACTAGCTCAAGTGTTGTAAGTAGTGATCACATTTTCCGAATCTTGGGATATCATTAAGTGTAACAGTAGTTCCAAAATAACTTTGAGAATATGATGTTGGAAGAATGATCATATTGAATTTACCCAATTTGTTTGTTATACCTTGAGATACTATCGTCACAAGTCAATCATTATAACACAGAGAGTTAACGTATGCTTTGGTTCCTTAGACCATGAGAGTATCGTAGTCACTTCTTACCGTACAATGGACTTTGGGATTGCTCAAACATCATCTATAACACGATGATCATAACGACAACTAACAGATTCATCGGAAAGTTTGTCAAGGGGCTAGATAGCTCAAGAGTGGGATTTGCTCCTCCGAAGATGGAGAAATCACTACTAGGGAAAACCTTATACACAGAATCTTACCCAGCAGCGCTATCCAAAATACAACGCTACTGCTATTTAGCAGCAGCGCGTTCAAGAAAAACGTGTTGCTGAAAGAAAAATAGCAGTAGCGCGTCCCCTCTAAACCGCGCTACTGCTCTAATTGCCATGACCTCGCCATCCAGCTAGTTATAGCAGTAGCGCCCTGTAACGAACCGCGCTACTACTATAGATGTTAGCAGTAGCACACTTCTGTAAAACACGCTACTGCTAAGTTCGGCCCACAAGTTTAGTCCCACCTCGCTCCGCGAACAGGGTGTTTACCACCTTAAATATGTTACTTCTCAAACTATCACAACCACTTGATCTTCACTGAACTCTATGTGTAGAATTTGTGGCCGCAATATGAGTCTTCTCCGGTTCCTACCGGAGAGGACTCATATTGACAATTCAGATTGTACACAAAAAGATCATTGATGGCCAATGTATTTCTGCATTGACAGACAATGTATTTTTGCATGCTTACACTTAGCAGTAGCGCTTTTAGTAGCAAAGCGCTACTACTAGTCCAATTTAGCAGTAGCGAGCATCCCCGAACAGCGCTACTGCTATTCTCATTAGTTGTAGCGCGTTTTCGTACCCGCGCTACTACTAACCCTACCTTATGTCCACGCGCGCAGCCGACCCTCTCTCTCACTCACTCTCCCCCTCTCAGTCGCTCTCGCCCGCGCCGATAACCATCATCGTCCGTCGCCGCCGCCGCCGTCGTCCGTCGGCCACCGAGGTAATCCCTCCTTCCATCCCTCCTCCTCCCACCGCGCCCTCCTCCCTCCTCCTCCCACCGCACCCTCCTCCCTCTTCCTCCCACCGCGCCCTCCTCCCTCCGCCTGCGGCCGCCCCCTCCTTCCT